GCGCCGCCGCGCTTCCCAAGTGGCGCACTTATCCAGTGCGCCACCGGGCCGGCCCAAAGATGGAAATACTTTAAAATAATTATTTAATTATTTGAGAGGGAAATTTATAATATTTTGTAAAGTATAAAATCTAAAATCTTTACTCACATTATAAGATATGGTTTATTATAATTATGGCTTATTACTGTCATGGTATTTTCCTTCTAAACTGGTAACTTATAGAATTAATGTTTTATGTCAAACTTATGTGAATAAATAAGTGAAAAAAAAATTTCTGGATCAGTTCTTCTCCCCTCCAATTTCAATCCTACAGTCATGCGTACACATATTTGAAGAAAATATTCAAGTCTTCCTTTAATTAACGTAGTTCTAGATATGTAAATACTAGATATCATTAGTCACAGAGTCTGGACCATGGTTTGTCATCCTTAACTCATATATTAGAATGTCTGAGAGAATCTAGAAAGTTTTCATGTTGAAGCTGAGTTTTTACTGTATACAGATGGTTGCTGAATTTTTTCCCCAAATCTTATTTTTTCTTAATTATGAAAATACCAATTATGTCTTCTATAAAGCTCCACATATAAATAAAAAATATTTATGTTGTTGGAGATAATTTGTTTTTGAGCCAGTGAATTTTTTTGTTATTGTTTCTTTAGAAGCAGGCGAACTGAAGAAGTTGCTTAAAAGAATTTCTTGAAATGTATTTTATGACATCGGAGTTTTCAATCAGTTTAATGCCAGTTGTACTTCCTTCCTTAGGGAATTCATGTACCAGTTTTCAATCTAAAATCCTGAAATTTATGATTACTATTTTTTTAGTTCTTATGCCACTGCAAGTAGACGTTCTTCGTATAGGGCTTCTAGAAGTAACTTTTTCCTTGTCAGATATAAAGTCAGGGTAGGGCATTATTTTTGGAGTTATTGATAGGCTAGGTAATATTCACTTTATTTTCATTCACTAGAAAGTGTTGAATACCTCTGAACAAAGTTATTCCAAAGACTATACATGGTATAAGTGCATGTAGTGAGTATTTTCTCTAATGAACTGATTATTACTTAAGTAACTTTACTGAGTAATGATTAAGAGAAAAGAAGATAAGTTAATATAAGTATGAAATTTATTTTAAAAATTTTACTTTTAGCACTAGCCAGGCTGTTCAGGAATTATTTTTGTGAGTAGGTACTAATCAGGATATTAATTATACGTAGATATGTTACTACTCAGCTTTTGAGGTTATAGGCATTTCTTGTTATATAGAAAGTTGTGGCCAACTTTCAAGTTTGTTAAATTAGAAATTGGTAAATTCGGAGATAGATTGATCTGGATTTACAGGAAGATTCTAAATTATGGCAATCCTAAGGCAATGAGCGTCTTTTTTTTTTCTTTTGTAGTTGCAGGGTGTCAGTCCCTTTCCTTTTCACTAGCAGTTGGTGACCGTTCTAAAGAGAGAGCCATTTGAAGGTTCCTGTCAGGCAGAGCAACCAGGAGCCCTGAACTGAGGAAACATGAGCAGTACAGAGAAGCATTGGGGTGACCTAGCTTCCAGCCCCATGAACTCTGCAGGATTTACGAAAAGGCCCAAAGACCATGTCTTGTTCTGCAGTGTATCAGACTTAGTTTTGATTGAGAGTCACTGGGGAGAGAGGAGGGAAAGACAATGTTTATTTTTAGAGAATAATTTGGACGAAATTTTTTAAATTAAAAATTAGGGGCCAATGCAAATCCTAAAAATGACGAGTAGCAGTCTAGAATGCCCTGAAACCATAACGGAGAGTCAGGGACATCCACCAACAGCATTTATGTTACTTGGACATCCTGGCACGGTGTGTGATGGCATACCTGGGTGCTCACCTCTCGTCGTGCTGTGTGGGGGGTGTCCAGTTCTCTCAGCACTCCTTGTGGTTCAGTCTTCATCAAGCAGGAGTGTTAAACACATGACGCTGGTCTACAAGTCAGTAGTTTTGTAGTCAGTAGGGATATAGCCTTCTTTACGTTGAAAACATAATTCTCATCAAAAAAGAAAATAAACTCAACAGCGGCATCTTATTTATACGAGGGGTGTACTAGAAAATTCCTTGGTCTGGCTTTGGAGATGTAAGTGTTTGCATATGACATTTTATTTTTCCTATTTTGCCTGAGCAATGAACTGATTAAGAGCTTGGAGCCAGATTGCCTCTGTTCATATCCTGGCTCAGCCACTTTCCTGCTGTAAGACTCTGGGTCTCTTTCTGCTTCAGATCCCTCACCCGTAAAAATGGGGATAATAGTTCCTCCCTCATAGGGTAGTTGTAAGGATTAAAGGAATTTGTGTATATAAAGAGCTTAGAACAATACTTATGATTTGCTGTACAAATGTTTGTTGCTTTTCTTTATTTGAAGTTTTTATTTGTGTGTTACATTTTTATTTTGATTGTAATAGTAACTTTATAGTTTTATTTTCTCTCTTTTTACCTGTGGGCCCTCATTTGACATAAATGTTGGCATTTATAGTACTTGAATTCAATACCTTAAAATAGTGTTTTACATTTGTGCTATCAATAAATGATCAAAGTTATTCCTTTGTTTTAGCATTATTTTTCCTGTCTGAAGAAATGTTTTTTTGATGTGATTAAGAAAAGGTAGATTTTTTCCCCAGCATTTATTGAAATCTTAAGAAATAGAAAGTATTTGTATATACATGTAAATCAGAGTATTAAGAGTGGAATTGATGAATTTCACTTCATATTGTTTAAATTCAAATATTAGGTTTGCGGCAAGATGAAAAGACTCTGCAAATTACAAATATTGACATGGAGCCATGCGCTGTAGATCCCCAGCTGAGAATTATTCTTCAGTGGCTTGTTGCCTCTGAGGCTGAAGTTGCAGAACTTTATTTTCATGACTGTGCAAAGAAGGAGTTTATACTAGTAAGTACCGACCTTATAGAATGGTTGTGAGGATACATTTAACAGTATATAATGTTCTTGTCATGTAGTGGTCTAATCAAGTGCCCGTTGATGGCAAGGTTAAATATTTAGGCTGAAGAGTCCAACAGTTTGAGTTCAGGTGTCAGCTCTGCCACTCTCTGTAAGTCTGTTTCCCTAGCTGCACTGTGGAAATGAGTGTAGAATCTACCTTACAGGGATTTATAATACTGTAAAAAAAAAACCATGCTTAGTCTTATGCCTAGTATGCATTAACTTCTCAAAGTAAGATGCCATTAATAAGCATTTTATGTGTTCCTATGAAAATATTGTTCTTTGTATTTAGTTGATTCATAATTGTAGTTAATAATTAATATGTCTCTTTCTCTGATAATCCATTTTCATTTGTATGAGAAGCTGGTATAACCAAAAGCAAAAAAAAGTTTTAAAAAGATGGTCTTATTTTGAGCACTTACTATGTGCCAAGCACTTTGTTAGTCAAGATTTTCAGTTTACAGTCTTAAGATTTTTGTTCCATATTTTCTTACCAGAACTTTGGCTTAATCTTATCATAGGGTATAGAATAGTCCAGTGAATAACAAATGTAGATAGATTAATAATAACAAAACAGGAACAATCAAGTTACTCTTATTTTCTAGTTCAGAATTTATGGAGATGTTGAAGTATGTATAAGAAAAAAGACATTATATAAAAACTTTTTTTTTTTTTGTATTTTGTCATTTATTTTTACTCAGACTCTTTGGACTTTTCCAGTTTAGGTTTTTTTTTTTTTGTCTTTTGTCTTTTGTCTTTTTCCGTGTCCGGCAACGGATCACAACCCTCAGTGTTGCCCCCGTACCGGACCGGGGACCGGCAATGGGATTGCAACCCTTGGTGTTGCTCCCGCGCCTCGCTCAGCCAGTGAGCGGGAACCGGTCTGTATGTGGGATCCGAACCCTCGGGCGGGAGTGCCGCCGCGCTTCCCAAGCGGCGCGCCTATCCAGTGCGCCACCGGGCCGGCCCCCAGTTTAGGTTTTTGATTTTGAGCAGAAAGAGAAGATAGGACAGAAAGGAATTCTCATGAAATGAATCACCAAGGGTAAAGAATGGGTCAGGAAAATGTTAGAATCGACCTTAGGGAGGCAAACATTTCCAGGAGTTATTTAGTCTTGGATAAACTGAGTGCTGAGGAAGGCCTTAGGTGGAGCTGAGAGTGATGGTGCTTGGGTAAAGGGACCATCCCCATGTAAACTAGCCCAGGGGATCTTTGCTTGACAGTTGAGTGAGGTGGAATGCCTAAATGTGGATGGCAATGTCTTATTATGTCTATGGTTATTTTAAATAATGTCTGCGGCTTATTTTAGCCATGTGGCTTATTTTAAATAATGACCCTCATTAACCATGTCTGGTTAGAACCCCACAGGGTTGCTGAGCTATTAAGCAAAGAGGCAAGTACAGAATATCTTTGATGATAATGATGATAATAGAAACACTGTATTTTGTTTCTTTCTGGATAATATACTATTAGTTCTGATATCTCATTGTTAAATAGAATAAGCATTATTACCATAAACATAACTAGAAGGTGTAGGGACAGGAAAGTATAAAACTATTTTCACAAGTGAAAAAAAGGAAAAATTGGTCAAAATGAAAAAAACTTTTGTGCTTCGAAGGACACCATCAAGAAAGTGAAAAGGTAAACCAGAGAATTTTGCAAATGGTGTATCTGGTAAGGGACTTGTACTTAGAATATATAAAGAACTCTTACAACTCAATAACAAAAAGGCAAATAATCCAATTTAAAAATGGGCAAAGAATCTGAATAGATGTTTTTCTAACGAAGATATACAAATGGCAAATAAGTACATGAAAAGATGGTCAATATCATTAGGCATCAGGCAAGTGCAAATCAAAGTCACTGTGAGATATCACTTTGCTCCCACTAGGATGGCTGTAATCAGAAAGACATAATAACAGTTGTTGGTGAAGATGTGGAGAAATTGGATCCTTATATATTACTGGCAAGGGTGTAAAATGGCACAGCCACTTTGCAAAACATTCTCACAATTCTTTAAAAAGTTAAATTATGTTACCCAGGATTTCCATTCCTATGTGTATACTGAAGAGAAATGAAAACATGTGCAAACAAAAACTTGTGCACAAATATCTGTAGAAACATTTATAATAGGTAAAAAGAGGAAACACCCCAGATGTCCATCAGCTGATGAACAGATAAGTAAAATGTGGTGTATCCATGCAATGGATATTGACAAACATTATTTGTCAATAAAAAGGAATGAAGTACTGATACATGCTACACCAGGGAGGAACCTTGAAATAATTATGCTCAGTGAAAAAAGCTGGTCATAAAAGATGACACACATATTTTATGATGCCATTTATATGAAATGTCCCCAATAGGCAAATCTATAGACACCAAAAGTAGATTAGTGGTTGCCTAGGGTTGAGGGTGTTGGGGTGAAATGGGAAGTGGTCCATAATGGGTAAGGCTTTCCTTTTGGTGTGATGAAAATATTGTAATACTGACTGTAGTGGTGATTGCATTCCTCTCAGTGAATGTATTAAAAACCATGGACTAGTACACTTTGTGAATTGTATGTTATGTGAGTTATATCTCAGTAAAGCTGTTTCAAAAAAGTTAAGTGAATTTACATTACAAAAAGTTAAAATAGTTTTTCAGAATTTAATTTATAGATCTTTCAAAACTCAAGAACTTTTACAAAACTTAACAAAAAAATGAGTAAAGGCATATTCTGATTGGTGATGATAAAGTTTATTTAAACCTGTATTTATTTACTTTTTTGGTTGTTTTTCTTGAAACATTAACATTTCTTAAGTTAGTAAGCCATGTTTCCATTGAGGCTAGAGTGTGTATTCCAGAAAAAAGCCACACTATATGTTGTGGAAGGAAAATCCACATCCTTTTATTAAGCTTGACGTTGTCTTTATTATTTTATGTTCCTAATTGAGGGAGTGGCAGATGTATTTAGTTAAGCGAAGAATTTCCTGTAGAAATTTAGCCTCCGCACTCCCACATAGACTATCCACTGGGTGAGGTTTGTGGGGTTCTGTCTCCAGCAATCCCAAAGTATCATTCTGTGAAGGACATGTGTTTATAAAGGGAAGGAAGAGAAAATGTTTAATTTGGGTAAAGGGGTGGCGGTTTAGGAGAGAAGACCTTATTATAACTGAAAAACCATATTTAATTGTAAACATCAGGATTCTTGGTTTTTTTTTTTGGTGTTAAAAATAAAAATGAAAACTTTATTGTTATAAAATTGTTTTCAGTTAATGTGTGATATTTCTTTCCTTTTTAGCTTTCAAAACGATTACAAGAAAAAGGATGGAAAGTGGGAGAACTCCTGCAGGCTGTGCTTAAATACTATGAAGTGATGGAAAAAACTTCCAGTGAGGAGAGATGCAAGACACTGTTTGATTGGCTCTTGGAAAATGCATAGAATAACCCCCAAACCAGTATATTTTATTATTTGTTTTGGGAGGGGAAGAAACAGATAATGATACTTAAGATAAAATTTGAATAGTGAATATTAACATTTTAAGTGATTGGGAGGAAAGTAAATATAGCTTTTTAAGCTCTTTGTGTTATCACCCGGTGTATATAGTTCATACTTTTTGTACTCTCTGTTAAAATATTATCTTCATTTATTCTTCTATACACGTGTGCAGTGTGTTCAGACCCTGAGTACATGTAGGTGAATGAAGGTCTAACTATGAGGTTTTCAGGGGCATTGTCTGACAGCATTCTTTCTGCATCCAAATGGTGCTGCTAAAAACTGCAGTGAGGTGGCTGAGGATAGGGTCCAGTGATGAAAAGTTGTAATTTTGCTCCTTTGCAAAGAATGATATCCGATTAATAAATAGTCTGACATCAAAAAATAAAACTGAGGCTAATTTTTTTTGTTTCTGGTAGATTTTTTAGTATTCTTGTCATTTTTTTAAAAATCAATTTTTTTGGTAATAGTTCAGCTATTTTTGATTCCCCCAAATTATTTAGTTTCTAAATAATTAATATTTTAGGTTTCTATAAGCACCATAAATGGTAGTGGTAGTTTTCCCAGCCATTCATGAAATGACATTATTTGCCAATACTGCCAGTTGTTCTGGCATGATAGAGAGAGAGAGAGAGAGAGAGAGAGAGAGAGAGAGAGAGAGAGAGAGAGAAGTGTGTGTGTTTGTGTGTGTGTGTGTGCGCGCACGCGCGAGAATGTGAGTATTTTTACTTTGCTAGTGATTTGTTCCCTCTTTTATTTTACTGTTTTCTTAGAAACCAACTTTAAAATAAAATGTCTGTAAAGATTGTGCAGTCAGAATTGAGTCCCCAACTTATCCTATCAAGTTGCAAAACATATTGAAATTTTAAATTCATGTTAATATGGAAATGCATTTAAAGAAGCCCAATGGCTTTAATTGTTAGATTTTTGAAAAAAAAAAAAAAAAAAAAAAAATATGGAAATGCATTTAAAGAAGCCCAATGGCTTTAATTGTTAGATTTTTGAAAAAAAAAAAAAAACAAAAACAACAAAACTGCACTTTCCGAAAGGTAATTTTTTTTTCCCAGAAAGATTGGTATTTTTCCCCCCGGATAAAATTTATTCGCACTATTTTGTAAAGTTCTCTGACATGATCTTTCTGGGCTGTACGTTTCTTACTACGTTGTTTTTAGAAACTGTAAGTTGACATGAACTAGAGGACCAAGATTATGTCTTGGTTTTGTATGTGTGGGTATGTGTGTGCACATTTTTGGTTCTTCCAATAGTGGATTTTGTAATCTAGGGTAAATCACTTTTTGTGGGGGCTTTGATTTTGCTCTATTACATTTTCTTTTTTCCTGAGCACAAACTGTTCTGGAAGCGGCACAAAATATAGAAGACATAGCACCTGCCAAGGAGTAGGGAATAATGGCACTTAATGTTCATTTGAATTAATAATGATAGAGAAATGTGTTTTACAGTGAGAGATTCAAATTTGCTTTTTAGGAAAATGCCAAAAGCTATTTAAATTTTTTGAGGTTACGTTGCAAGCTTTAGTTTTTCTCAATTTAGGATACAGAAATAGAGCAAGCCTTAAACATAAATTTTCCTTAAGTTCCTTCTTTTTTAGGGTAGAGAAATGGAGGAAATGTATAACCAGAAGTGTTTATGCCTTTAGCTTTTCAGAACTTGAGGTGCAGCAGCACTGGACTGCGTTTTTAAACATCAGGACCAGAAATGTTTGCTCTTGTTAATTATAATGTGGATTAATTGATCATTAAGTTTAGATTGTGGTTTTATAAGTATCAAATTGTGTTTAGTAACTTGGGTGTATGTATGGGTTTGATCAACAGCAAAACTAAGTTCTGAATTTCTTTTAAGCTAAAGTGACAATATATTAGTTTTGTAAAACTTTCTGTGTTTGAAAATGTTTATTTCTGTTAATGGTATAATCATTTTGAGGTAAGGTTTTCCTCATATTCCTGTTTCCTTGCATTTCGCTGGAGCTGTGCTGGGTTCAGAGTTCCCTTACTTAACCACTTTCTAATGACTGACCAGTCATTAGTTATTAGCATGCGTGGTAAAAGTAATAGTGGAACCCCACATTTGCATCAATACAGTGCAGGGGCGTAGAGAAAAATACTAAGTATCGGCAGATGTGAAAAGAAGCAAGTTAAGATTCCTTATATAGATAGAAAACATTTGAGTTTAGAGCAATATCTTTTAATCAAGTACAGTCTAAACTTAACTTACTTTAAAGGCACTTTGTGATTCTCCAAAGATGTTCTAGATGTGTTTGGTTGCTCAGTCTCCAGAACAGCTCTGTTGAGGACAACTGTCTTATTTTATTACAAATCTTTTTGACGTATTTGTATTATAACATCGTAATATTGCCGTCCTGTAGATTTTGGCCCTTATGAAATATGTCATATTCAGAACCATTAAAAGTTGTGATGTGCATTGAGCTGAATTCTTTGTTTACCAATTTCAAAACCTTTGAGTGATGTGTGGGAAGAAAGTGAATGAGACCTCTGGTAGGGGGTTTTCAGAACATTATTTCAGACTGAAATGTGGCAATTTTTACATGTTCTTTTCTGAAGTCAGGTTTAAATTACATTTATATTTTTGGTATTATTAGTGTTGATTTTGAAGATATTTCCTGATTTATACAAAATGAATGATTCATTTATAAATTACAGAAAAAATGACAATATCAGTCAGATGGTTTAATGCATTATAAAACCTTTGAGAGTATTCACTTGGTGAATATATGTAATAACATCTTTACACTTTGAAAAATGTTCCACTTACTCTTTCAGATATTTGATGTGGGTTAATTCAATTCATAATATGTTAATTTTGCTTAACTAAGTTTTATACTGCTGGTAAGAGAATTATATATTAAGTGTACTATGTATAGAGTGAAAGATAGTTTATCCATGTGTTTTTGACATTAGGTGACATTGACATTAGTGCATGTTCCCCAAATGCAAAGTTTAATTTTGATTCATCATCAGAGTCCAGATTCAAATGTCTACTTAGTTAATTATTTAGCTAATATTATGCTGCCAAAATTAATATTGTCAATTTCCCATCAGTATATCACTTTAAATTTTACATTTTTCAAAGGAAATTCTCCACAGAATTTTTTCTTTTGAATGACACACCTTATACTCAGGGTGTAGGGAAAATACTTTCCATTTAAAACCCTGTCCACCTGTCACCAGCACAAGAGAATTAGAGCTTCAGTGGGAATTAGAAAAATTGTACTGAAGTGAAATGCATTTTTTTTTTTTTCATTTTCAGCAAAAGCTGCAAGCATTTACTCATTTACTGTATTCCTGCTCTGGAGATGCAGATACAGTGTTAGTCACTCTTGTCACTTTATTTATTTATTGTTTTTTACCATCCATGTACATTCCTTTCATATGGATAGAGTTGTTGTTCTAGAAGTTATTGTTTTTGTTGTAATGTTTGGATACTATTTAATATCAGGTTTTAATATTGCTGGATTTGCTACCTTTGATTATTTGTGCAGTGTTAAAAGTAATCCACGTTCTTGTTTAATATACCAGATATAAAGCAAAAGCAGCTTCGAATAATTATAGCTGTTTATTTTGCTGTGCTCAGCTACTATATTAAGATCTTGTACTGTGTAATGGTAATTTTTTTTTTTTGCTCTTCAGTAATTTAATATGTTCACTTACCAAAATATGAACTTCAGGATGCACTAAAATTTTCTTTTCGCAGTGGCTCAAAAAAAATTTTTTTTCAGATATTACTTTTGTAATAATTTGCAATTAATTGTTATTTTATCTTACAGTTATTTAAGCCTGTGATCCTTTCTCTCCCAACTAAAAATTCTTCAATAAATTTAAGAAATTTCTGGCCTTGGATTTTATTCTGTAATATCTTGTTAACTACTCTGTACTGAACTAAAGCAAAGGCATTGAAGCGGAACTGCCATGATAGAGGACACATAAAATGACCTAAATGCTCATATCATGGTTTTGAGAATGAGAAATTAGGAATATTTTTAAGTAGGCACAGGATTCTGCTTACTTATATGGTAGGTGCCTTTGAATGCTGGCATTAGCGACTTAAAATGCTGGTTGCCCAATCTTTTAGATTTAATGCAAAATATGGTTACCTTGAGTATGAGCATGGTTATGAAATTCGGCCTGGTATGAGCACTCCTTTCGTAGTATATATAGAGAGCATACTCCTGTCACGCCATGTACATGAGATACTTGAAAGTTACCTGCGGTTTTTTTAAAAAAAATTATTAATGGCGTTTGACTTTGTCTTAAGTATTTTTTTTCCTTTTAAGTGGATTTTATTTTTTAGAGCAGTTTTAGGTGCATAGCAAAACTGAGCAGAAAGTGCAGAGTTCCCATATACCTTCTGCCCCACCTCACCCTTCCTCCTCCTGTACTATCAACACCCACAACAGAGTGCAGCATTTACCTATGAACCTACACTGACACACCATTATCATCTAAAGCCCATAGTTTATATTAGGGCTCACTCTTGGCATCGTACATTCTGAGTTTGGACAAATGTATGATGACATGTACCCACCACTGAAATATCATACAGTAGTTCATTGCTCTGGCTTAAGTATTTTAAGCCCAGAAATTAGGGAATTGTTTTTTAGTTTTTCATAAATATTTCAAAATGCTAGGAAATAATAGCAAACAATGGGAAGGTTTGGGTGTAAGTGCACCTAAGTCCCTAAGAAAACAATTAAAAATGCTGGCAAAAAGTAAGCAAGATTCCATAGACTATACTTCCAAAACGGAAAAATGGCTGGAAGGGAATGGGAAGTGTGGCCAAAGACATGAGCAATTTTGCACACAAGGATCATTTGTGATTTGTATTTTGGCAAGAACAGAGAGGAGGGTGAGGGAACAGCTTGAAGAATTACTTCAGATTTTTATAAGTGTAAAAAGTGGAGAGGTGGTGTATCCAGGGATGAACGTACTATTGGTAAGAATGTACAAGAATCTAAGGTAAGAGTAAAAAATCTAAGCTTTTTGTAGCATTATGTTTACAGGAGGAACAATAAAGAGTATATGTTGCATTTTTTGCTCCTTTGTAATTTTGCAACACCTCATTCTTATTTTACTTTTGTGCTCAAGGTCAGGGAGGTTTTAGACTGTAAAGAGTGAAAAAGGGGATTGAAGCCCCAGTTTTGACTTTGGTTCTTCCCTCTGCACCATCCCCTCTTTTAAACACCTAAATGGATCCCTCATCTTAGAGCAAGAGATTAAAACTGGACTCCTGTGTGCTGAATTCTGCCCACTGATGTGTTTTGGCCTGGTGTAGGATCTTTTTAAAATTTAAATTTAAATTAAAACTAACTACACATTTTATTAAATTTAAATTAATGAGCGGCACAAGGAGACTTCACATTTAAATATGTTTTATGTTTCCAGCTTCTTGAAAAATTGAAAGCTCTAGAACACTGATTGGACTCATGTGCAACAGTTTGGCAGGAGCTGAGTAATGATTACCCCTATAGTCCCAGAGTAAGTTCACTTTTTGCTCTGGAATGGCTTGCTCCAGTTTCCTCTTTTATGTTGCCTGCTGGGGCCCTGTAGGCGTTTGAGATGCAGCCTCTGACTTAAAGCAGATGGAATAATGAATGTGCTTAGAAAATGTGAATAGCATTCTAGAAACTGTTCCATTCTCTAGGATTGCTCAAAGTGGGGAGGAACATTCTAGAAATTACTAACTTGGTGAGTTATTGCTCCTAAGCAGCAAATAGTAATTGTTAAAAACATAGTTTTTAAACTATGTGGAGAAGGGAAGCCAGCATAGGTTTACCAAGAGCTGATTCTATCAGATTTACACTTCATTTTTCAGTAGAATTATTTTCCTGGCATATTAGAGTACGAGAGACATAATATCCAGATTTTAATGAGGCATTCTCTCCATATAAAGAGAAGGAATGAATAATTGTGGCTTCCTAA